TTCTGTCTCTCTGTTATATGACACTTTGCATGATAATAATCACAGACACTGTCCATGCATGTTTTTCAATTGTCATTATTTCTAGTACATGACCTACTTTGGGACTGTATATTTTGAAGATATGAAATATCAGTATGTGTTTGGGGCCAAAACTGAATTGGGATTCATTATAAGAAAGGGTAATATCCCCAAATGCACACTCTTTTTAAAAAGATAAGTTTAGATGAGAGATTTTACACTTCATAAAACGAGATGCTGAGGATTTCCTTTCAATAGCATATTCTTGTTGCATTTTATTATGATTTGGTTTACAAAAGTTAGTCTTGCGCACAGCTGTTCAGGAGCAGAGCCAATGACTAATGGCAGATCTGCCTTGAATGGAAAATGCTGCTGAGCAAACTATGTTAACAGCTATTTTAGGACCACCAAGCATGTGTTTGCATTTTCAGGAGTGGAAAGAGAGATAATATTTATTTGGTATCTAACACCATGCCAGGCACTATGCTAACTTTACGTTTCTAAGCTCATGTAATCATACAAATTTGTTGAAGTAGCTCTCTGTCTCCCCATTTTGCAGGTAAGCAAACAGGTTCAGAAAGAGGAAAATAACTTGCCTGTGCTCACTACAAATTAGTGTTGAAGGTTAAACCAACTGAGAGTGCAGCCCTACCCCTAGCCCTCTCGTCACCCCACACTTCTGCATTCTGCATTGGAATTTGGGGTCTAGAAGGTTTTTTATTATTACATTAGACCACTCACTTGCCTGCAAAACCCTTAATATGCACAGAGTGTCTGGCAGTTCGGTCAGATACACAGCAGTGCATCCTGCCACTTGAGGGCACATTCAGAGCTTCACAGGCAAATGATTAGGGCCAGGAGGGCCAGCAAATTCCTGGCAGTCAAACCACCTGCACGTACATAGTAAAACCTACAACAGGAGCTTCCTTCTCTGAGATCACTGCTTGCTATCTGGCACTAGCCTGACAGGTATGATTTGGAAAGCCCTGGGGCAAGTACAACAGTCCCTACAGAAGCAAATCAAAATGCCATGACTGCATTTTGATTTGTGAACCTATAATGTAGTCTTCTAATCTGTACCTTTTCTAAGAAATCTTTCTTTGCCCTTTTAGGACTAAAGCTATGAAAGGGAATCTTTACCATATGTCATTGTTCGGACAGAACCAGAAATATTGTTGGCTTCAGAGCTGAACTTGGCCCCAGTCAGAAGGGTGGCCTTTGTGTTCTCATTACTTAGGGGCTGAGGGAACTATCACATGCTCTGAAATGCATTCTAATGAATGTTTATGAGGCCATGGGGATCACATTGGTGGCTTTGTCTGCCTGATTATGAAACGGGACTCTGCAGGCTTTTATATATGGAGAGGAAGTAATTAATTTCTAAAAGATACCAAGGAACCCTTCCCCCTTCTTTCTCCCCTTCCTACTACCAAAAGCAGGACCTATGAGGGAACTGGCTAGAAGTTGGTACACCTGAGGTCTAATGCCCTCATCCTTTAATTGACTGCATAACCAAAAGCAAATGGTGTCCACTTCCATTTTCTATGGAAAGAGAAGGTTTTGATCTGCTCACTAGAAGTCCTGTCAGTGTCTACTGATTCACCCACTGTCACAGTGAGAGGACAGGATCATGTGCATTGTGTGGCCTGAAGAAAGCAGGGGATGGCTGGCAGCTGGGACTAACAATGTGCTGTCACCAAGACTGGAAAATGGTATGGGCCTGAAGCAGCAAGGTTTAGAAAGGACTGGAAGCTTGCTGGGGAACACTGCGAAGGGAAGTCATTCCAGAGCACTGAGCTGTCTTGATCTATGCACTTGACCTCAAACTGTGGCCGTGGGATCTAAACAAGAGCACATGGCCCAGGCAGGCAGAACCTGAGCAGCAGCACTTCCTGGCCCAGGTGACCTGGCAGAGGTACCAGTGTGACAATGGGCATGAGGATAGCCCAGCCAGCCTCTCACATCATAGAACAAACATTACAAATCTCACATAACAAATCATGAGACTGCAAATGAGGAGGCACTGAAGCAAGCCTTTATTTAAGGGCAAAACTCACTGGGTTCTCACTTCAGGCTGACTGTGGAGCGCTCTTACCACCAAACCCCACACATGGAGCCTCTGGCAAAGGAGGTCCACTTAAACCTACTGAAAAATGAAATCCCTCTGCCCAGACAGCAGCCCAGTTGAGGACCACTAGAGGGACACTAGTGGGGACAGCAAGGGGAGCCTGCCTCTCCTCAGGGATCCCCCTGAAACGCATATTGTGATGAGCACGAGCAGCTGCCCAGCTGCAGACTTGGCATAGCAAAGGTGGCACCTGATGCAGCAAATTGGATCCAACCAGCATGAGATGGCCCTTGATATTCCAAGGAGGTGTCCCGGGGTCTGCTTTGTTACTGAGGAGCCAGCTGGTTCTCTGATTTAGAGCTAAGTGGGGACCATTTGCACAGATGCCATTGATGGGTGCCTGCAAAGTCAGGTGCACACGGGCTCACATTTAGAGGTTCAGCCTCCTTTCCTTTGCCAGTGGCCCCTGACACAACCTTTAGTGTCTAGTGGTCATGCCCTGCCTACCTCACACTCTGTCACCTTAGACATCATGAACAGCACAGTGGGCCCAGCATTGCCAGCTCAGCGTCCCTGCAGCAGATCCTTGTATAAAACCCACGCTCAGTCAACCCTGATTGATTCATTTCAATATTTCTGTTTTACCATGTCAGATTTCTTTGGATTCTTTGGGGAAAGGTAGAGGGGACCAGGTATCACTTTGGGACCCACTCACTTGTTTAGAGGCTGCTCCATAATTGATTGAATGCATGGCCCAAGCTCCCTGTGCTCGAAGTCCTTTGTGTCCGTTTGTCCATTGATCCACTCACCTGCTATTTACTGGTCACCTGCTGTGGGGCAAGTATTTGGTGAGCTTCTCCCTAGACAGCTCGAGGACAGTGCGGCTGCTGCCTTCAGACAGGCTCGTGGCTAGGAACCTGGGCACAGATGATGGCCTAGGCCTCTTCTTGTGCCTGCTCTGTCCCTCCTCAACCTTTGCGGCCAGATCCAAGTGGTCAGGCCTCAGGTGAGTTTAGTGGTAGAGCTGCCTTTGTTTGGGTCATGGTGGTGAGCCCTTCTGGAGGGACAAAGCAGTGTCCTACCATGGGGATGGATGAAGACAGTGGAACGAAGGCCACTGAGTGGTCACAGAGGGGCCCTGCATCTCGCCTGGGCAATTACTGGCAAATCCTGCCCCCCTGGGGCTTAGGGACTCGTCATGAAGTAGAAGGGATTGGACTCCCAGGTCCCTTCTAAGTTGCCTTACGGATGCCAGGTACCACACAATCTGCCCCATTTCACCGAACAGAGCAGCAGCAGGAGATAGATAACAACTATCATTCTCCTTCCGCAAATGAAGAAACAGGCTCAGGGAGGCTAAGGAGCAGAGCCAAGACCTGGCTGTGCCTTCCCCAAGGCCAGGGTCCCCCCCCTATGCTGCCGCTGCCCCACACCCTCGGCTGCTGGTTTTCAACCTGCACGTCCATTTAGAATCAGCCGCAGAGTGCACACAAACTCCTGGTGGATGCAACTGCAGCAGTTGATACTTGATGGGAGGCCCCAGGACCCTAGATATGTCTGAGTGATTCTGGTATACACCAAGGCTTGAGGCATGCAGCCCTGGGTGGTCTACTGTGAGGTTCACTTAACCATGGTTGTCATTGACCCTTATGGTAGCAAGTGAGGGGACGCCAGAAAATCAGCACTCTGTGTCCTAGGAAAATTTCCAAAGCTAAAAGAGTAGTTCCTATGTGAAAAGTTGTTTCAAGAGAATTATATCTGTTCACCTGTTGGCATTCAAGTGATGTCTAAGTCCCTGTCTTCCTTGTCTTATTTTGATCATTCCCACACACACCCTGCTCTTTTCTCCCTTTCCCTGCTGACAGCCCAGTTGTGGCCATTAACATGACAGCCACGGAGCAGTACAAAGCTGTGAAAGAGCAGCACAGACTGCATTCCTAGTGGCTTCACTTTGTTCCCAAAGGCCAGGCTTTCACACACAGTGGGCAACTCTCCCAAGGTACAGATCTCACAGCACGGTCTTTTCCTGCTGTTTGATATCTCTCCAACTTTAGGATGCATCTGCAGAGAGGAATTTTTTACTTAAATAACTTGATACTTGGGGTTTTTGATTACATGTCCTTCTCATTAAAAACAAACAATACAGAAAGGTAGAGAATAGAAAGGGAATTTGCCAGTCATCCCCAAGAGAGGACTATTCAAAATTGTTGGTCATAGATTTTCCCAAGTTATTTTTGTATGTACATAAGCAATGTGTGCAAGCGTGCATGTGTGTGTGTGTGTGTGTGTGTGTAAACATAAATGGAATAATGACTATAATTACTGTTCTGAAATCTGTGCATTTCCCTAAGCAATACAACTGCTCAAAAGAACACAGCCAGATCAACCTCATTCCTGTTGAATTCTGTTTTATCGATGCAGCCTGCTGCATTTGACCAAGACAGACAGCTTAAAAGCTCAGTGTCTGTATTACAGTTTTTCTTGTTTGAAATCGGAATATCTGTAAACAAGTAAGAATTGGAAATATTCAGCTCACTCTAGTTTGCTCTTGAATGCCTGCCTTTGGCAGCAAGTTCTGTTTAGTGACTCTGGCACAGTTTCACTGGACTCCTTTTAGGTGGGCAAAGAATATCCTTTGCGTGGCTTTCTGTCACGTTTAGTATCCAGACTCTATAGCGCCTTATTTGAAATGTAACAAGACTATTTAAATGAGGCACAGCAGCAAAGAAACAAGCATCATTTTTCCAAAAATAGGCTGTATTTTATAGTTTTGACAAGTAGAAGTCTTTAAGCGGAGGTCTGTTTTATGTTGCAGATTTCCTGTTCATTAGTATTAATGTGCCAAGCCTTTATAAAAATCTTTCTTCTCTCTCTCACTCTCTCTCTCTCTCTCTCTCTCTCTCTCCTCTTTCAGCCACAGGGAACCATTAAGAGGAGACAGGAAGGAGACGACTTCCAATTTCCAGGCATGGGTGATGGAGGTTACCCTAATAAAATTAAGAGGCCCTGCCTTGAAGATGTCACCCTCCCTATGGGCCCAGGTGCCCATCCCAGTACCCTCTGTGCTGAGTTGCAGGTCCCTGCTTTAACAATGACTCCTAGCTCTGCACCAATGGGAGCTGGCCAGTCCTTACTACTTGAGCACAATCCCATGAATGGCGGCATGACAGGCTCCCCCTTTGGGGTGCAACCAACTACAGAAATGGGGCTGAAAGGGACTAGCGTTCCTTACTACGAGAAAATCAACAGTGTGCCGGCTGTAGACCAGGAGCTTCAAGACCTGCTGGAGGAGCTAACCAAAATTCAGGAACCTTCTCTGAATGATCTAGATCTGGAAAAGATCCTGGGGAGCAAGCCTGAAGAGCCGCTGGTCTTACACCACACCCAGACACCCGTAGAGACACCGCCTAAGCTTCCGGTTCCGATGCCACAATTAGAGGGCCTTGATTCCAGCAAGGAGTATGCTTCTAGCTGCAGCCAAGTGACCGGTGTGTCACTGCCAATCCTGCCCTCCTCCACAGGGGTCAGCTATTCGATTCCTTCTACCAGTAAGCAGATGGCAACACCCAGTTCCTCGACAGCACAGGCGAAGAACCAGGCCATGCTCCCTGTCACTTTGCCCCCATTACCGGTGCCTCAGTGGCATCATGCCCACCAGCTGAAAGCATTGGCAGCCAGCAAGCAAGGATCTGCTACCAAGCAGCAGGGCCCCAGCCCCACTTGGTCTGGCCTGCCCCCTCCAGGCCTCTCCCCACCTTACCGCCCAGTGCCATCACCGCACCCACCACCGCCGCCACCGCCACCGCCTTTCAGCCCTCAGAGCTTTATGGTATCCTGCATGTCATCCAGCAGCTCGTCGAGTAGCACTTTGCAAGCCTCACCCAATGCCTTACTCTCCAGTATGGCGTCTGGCGGCAATGCCACCCTTGGGCCCACCTTGCCCTACACTCCAGAGAAGCTCCCCAGCCCAGCTCTCAACCAGCAGCCACAGTTCAGCCCCCAGAGCTCCATTCTTGCCAACCTGGTGTCCTCTACCATCAAAAGCCCCCAAGGGCACCTGATGTCCGCTCTGCCCACCAGCAACCCAGGGCCGTCCCCGCCCTATTGCCCAGAGAAGCTGTCCAGCCCGGGCTTACCGCAGCAGTCCTTCACGCCCCAGTACTCCCTCATCCGGAGCCTCACTCCCACCAGTAGTCTGCTGAGCCAGCAGCAGCAGCAGCAGCAGCAGCAGCAGCAGCAGCAGCAGCAAGCAAATGCCATCTTTAAGCCCATGACCAGCAACTCATCCAAAACCCTGAGCATGCTCATGCACCAGGGGCTAGCCAGCTCCAGCCCTGAAGCCCCTGAGCCATTTACCTTTGCCAACACCAAGCCCTTGTCCCATTTTGTTTCTGAGCCGGCCCCCCAGAAGATGCCCTCCATGCCTGCCACCTCTAGGCAGGCTTCCCTGCTTCACTACCTGCAGCAGCCGATACCGGCGCAGGCCTCGTCTGCCACTGCCTCCTCCACTGCCACCGCCACCTTGCAGCTGCAACCGCAGCCGCAGCAGCAGCAGCCTGAGCATTCGTTCCTCTTGCAGCAGATGATGCAGCAACCCCAGCGCTTTCAGCGACCAGTGGCCTCTGAGTCCATGCCCACTCTGCCCAGACAGGTAAGACAATCTCATCTCTGGTGGTGTCCTCCTTTGTTTGAGAAATCATACCTAAGTTGCATGCCATGGATACCTGGGTTTGGAGGGCAAATCCAGGCTATCGTCCTCTCTCAAGCTGCACTGGACTCTGGAAAGGTCTATGTAAGTCAGCTAACTGCGTGTGGTTAAGGCAGTTTTCATGAGGCCAAGGCTATGGTTGCAGTGTCTGTTCAGGTCACGTAATCCCCTGGGAGGAAAGCTGCACCCACAAGCCACTCCCAGGGGAAGGAGCTTGGAGGACAAGTCAGGACTGTACAGAAATGGACTGTATTCCCCCGCACTAAGCCACATAGCAGGACTCATGAAGCCTTCGTAGGATGTAAGGAAATTGCACAGAAGTACTTGAGTCTCTTCCCTGCTGGCGTAAGGATGAGCACTTAGCTGTCCATAAATTCCACAGCACACTTTTGCTGAGCAAGTTCTGTGTGCCATTCATCACTGTGTGGATGCTGAGGCAGATCCCGAAAGGAAAGTCAGACACTTGTAAGGTACTCTTCTCCACCCCATTTTTCAAACAGAGAAACTGAGGTTCAGAGAGTTGTGATGACTTGCCCAGAGTCACATGGTTAGCAAGTGATGGAGCAAGAATTTAAAGCCAGGAAGTCTCACTGCAGAGCCAATGCTCTTCTCAAAATTACTCTTAACTTTGACTTCTCTCACCGCCTCACCTCCGGCAGTCTTTTCAATCATTAGATGCAGCTGATACCCCTTTGTAGCACCTAGCACAGTTCCTACTTTTCATTACTCTGATCCTTGTCGGTATTAGTTAGCTCCTGCTGTGTAACCAATTATCCCAGAGCCCCAACTTCCAACCACACACCTGCATTAGCTCACAGTTTCTGCAGATCGGGAATCCTGGTATGGCTTAGCTGGGTCTCCTGACTTAGAATCTCACAGAAAGCTGCAATCCTCTCAGGGTTGTGTGGGGAAGGATCTACTTCCAAACACACTCCGGTGGTGGTTGGCAGTTCCTTGCAGGCTGTTGGACTGAGCCCATAGCTCCTCTGGGACTATTGGCCCCCTTCAGTCCCTTGCCGCATGACTGTCACAGAGCATCTCACGACATGGCAGCTGGCTTCATCCAAGCGGCTGAGACAGTGCTGCCAAGAAGCTGCAGGGGCGAGGACATGGGCTGGAGTGTCCCAACAAGTCAGAAGCCACAGTCTTATAACCTAGTCTATGTCTTCATCACTACATGGTGGCCACAATACCAGCAGGCAGGGCTCTGTGGGCACCGTGTCACAGCTCTATCTGCCTTAAATATTGTCAGTCTCAATCTTCCTTCCCATTGCTGTAGCCTTGCCCAAGTCTGGCCCCTCTTGGTTCGCTGTGTGAAATCGTGCAGTTGACCCTTAGCTGATTCCCCCCAGTGAATCAACCATTGCTCTAAGAGTTGCCTGGCTAACCCGGTGATCTGATTGTGCTCCCCACATTCTCAGAAGTCCCCAAGGGGCCAGAGCCTGTCCCTACCAACCTCCTTAGACTCAAAGTCTGTGGGGCCCTGCTTTGTACTTGCTTTCTACAACCTTCAAGTGCTGGTAGTAGGTGATCCACTGTATGCACTTAGCCGTCAGCCCTGCTGATCCTTGCACCTGACTTTCCCTTCCTCCCTTTTCTCTCCTTCTGGGCCAATTCCTTAAGGCTTGGGCACTATCCTCTCCAGGAAGCATTCTCCTGACTGTGCTCAATGCTTCTGCTTCCCGCTTCCCACACTGCCTCCCTGTTCTGTAGAACAGTAGAGGGGTTTCTGGAAACGGGTTGCTTAGGGACCTGGCCCAAGAGAAGCACCTGCCAGGGGCTGACCTCTCTAATTCCAAGATGACCGTGGCAATTCTCTAGGGAGAGACCGTTTTTGTTGAGATCTAATGGAACCTAACAAAGCAGAGTGCTTGGCACCTGGAAATTGGTCAATTGATGGATGCATACAGCAGGCAGAATTCCCAAGAGGGTGGCCAAGTTGAGTGGCATGAAGACAGACAGAGCAGGCAGGCAGGACAGGACAGGAGCTTGAGCCCTTGTCTGCAGTTCAGGAGCACTGTGGTTTGATTTCATGATAGGGCTGGTGCCGTCTGTTTGCAGGGACTTCTGCAGCTATCTTGGTGAAGTCCCAAGGTCTCTTTCACTAGGAGTATGACCCTTGCCCTGGGCACATTTCACCATCTAATATTGGGAGCCTTTTTGTTTTATTTCTTCTGCAATTGGGCATAGTTAGAGCCTGGCAATGTTGCCCAGAACCACCTCAGCTCACCCAGAGGAAGAATTCTTAATGCTTGGAGTCGCGAAAGTCACACCCAACCAGTTACCTCGATGTGAGAGAAGAAGGTGTTCGGGAGAAAGACCAAGCAGCCGTGCTCTCTGAGGCGAGGAGCACAGAAAGGGCTCAAGAGACCTCAGCCTGCAGAAGTGAGAGGCTGTGCTCCCACACGGGATGCTACTGCTACCGGAAGCCACCTTCTCAGGCCAGGCATGGGACTCAGTGCTTTACTCGCCTTTTCTCATTTTAGTCCTTAGAGGTAGGGTGTCTTGGTTACTTTTCTCTCGCTGCTGGGACAAAGTACTTGACACCCAATATTAAGGAAGGAAAGGTTTATTTTGCTTACAGTTCGTGGAGGTTTCAGTCCATACTTGGCAGATTACAAGGCAGACTGTCACATGGCAGAGAGCTACAGCTCATGTGGGCAGAACACAGCAAAGCAACAAGCACACACACAAGGGAGGAAATGGCCGGAAGCAGCCTCTTTCTCTCCCTTACATATGCAAACTATCCACCCCAAGGTGGGTGTAGCTCTCACACCCATAATCAATCAAACTCTAAAAGCCTGCCCCATGGCCGCATGAGGCTTTGGGGGGACACCCAGACACAAACCATAACATAGGGGGTTTTTATCATTGTCTTTATTGTTGAACAGAAAGGCACAGAGAAGTCACCAGTGGCCTACAGTTCCTACAGAAAGTCACACAGCAGAGCATGCCTACAGAGCTCACACTCACACTTGCAGTACATGAGGCGCTGTCTCTGAAACTTTCCATTCCTTCTCTCGCTCTTGCCTGTTTGCTTCTCTACAAAATAGGGGTGAGGGAAATCCTTTGGGTATTAAATATGTTCAGACATCAAAAGCACTTGGAATAGGGCTTGGCCAAGATGATTTTCTTTCTGTCCCTCTGTTTTCTGGGGCTAAGATGTGGTTGTCCAGGCCAGGAGCCGTGTCAGGACAGAATGTGAGCAGTGCTCCCTCCAGACCCCGTGCCCACCATGAGGTTTACCAGAACTCTGTGACCTGCATGCCTTCTGGGCCCGTCCTATTCTAGGCCTGTGCCTCCTGAGAACTCCAGGCCTGGGGGGAAAGGGAGAAGGGCTATGTTACCTTATAGGCTGGATCTCCCCCACATGTTCCTGAGCTCTTTGTTCATGTGCTCTTGCCCTAGCCTTCTCCCCAGCTCTGTTCTCCACACACAGCCAAAATGCATCAACAGCCCCCGTCTCCCGTTCCATCTTGTGTTCCTTCCCACAAAAGTTCAGGCCTACGGACTCCACTATGCCCACTCTTCCAGGGAAAAAAGAAAGGAAGGAAGGCGCAAGTATTTGAGGTAAGGGCTGGTGTCCCTGTAGAAAGACAGATGGAAGTTCCAGAGGTAGAAAGCGTGTGCTTCTCACTTCCAGTGAGGTAAATAAACTTCCCAGATTTTACTGATGGCCAAGGTAGGCCCCCAAAAAAGTAAGACACTTAAAAACATGGCACTTGTTAGGTTGCAGCACTTTTCGTGAATGACAGTGTTTTCTGTGGGAAGGCTAGACATTCATTGGAATCTGCACCTTAGTTTTTTGGTTTGTCTGTTTGTCTCTTTGAGACAGGGTCTCACTATGTGGTTCAGGCTGGCCTTGAGCTCACTTTGTAGCCCAGGCTGGTCCCAAACTCACAACGACCCTCCTGCCTCAGCCTCCCAAGTGCTGGGATTACAGGTGTGTGCCTCCGCACCCGGATGCATCTTAGTTTTTGAAAGGAATAGTTTCTGGATGTAAGGTGAGAAACAAACTCTTGAGTGAGCAGAAATATCCCACCCAGCTGTCTGTAGAAGTGCCTTCTTGTTTGCAGCCTAGAATCTCTCAACTTACAGGATTTCACTTTGCCAGTTGAGTCAATGATCCAATTTCACCAGACCATTCACTTCCGCTTAAGGTAAAAGGCAAATGCCGTCTGCCTTCAAAGAAGCAGTTCAGTGTGGGAGGGTAAGCAAGGGCACTGGATGCAGAGCAAACTAAGGTTCCAGTGTGGTTGTCAACACTGACCGAGACAGAGCCGTGAGCAATGTTCCTTAACCCCTCTGAGCCTCAGCTGAAAATGGGGAAAGACCTGCTCTCCGTTGCATAGAGCACTGGGAAGACAAAGGAGGTGGAATTGCTTGGAACAATGCCTGGCACACATTCAGCCGGGACCAGTACAGGCCTGTGGCCCTCGATCTGAAATGCCTGCACTCAGATGACTTTCCAGTCGCAAACATGTAGAACCTGAGAAAGGGAATGTGGTGCAAATAGCAAGTATCACACAACCTTCCCATAGAATGTGGGCAAAGCATCTTATTATCGTTACAGCAAAATATGAATATTTCAATTCAGGTCAAATGTTGCCCCCAAATAAAGTTTGGCACCAAATTTACAAAAAGTAAAGTTAGCTTTTAAAACTTCTTGTACCTGAACTTACGGTCAGGGATGTGCACCTGGATTTGTGCAGGGAGGGATCTTTAACTCTTCCGTGACATCCGGCCCTAGCTTGTTAAGATGTTAATGACCCCAAATCACTTCACTGTGTTCCCCACCTTACTCCCAGACTGGGTGCGCTACCTCAGTTTGTAATCAGGGAGAGGTCAAGTGGATTTTGTTCCTGTGGTGTGATGCCTCTTCAGCCTGAAGACTCTAAGAGACTGTGAGGCTCGCTTCAGTTTCACCATGGGCCCCTGGGGAA